CCAAACATGCCTCTGGGCAACTTCCTGGGCCCAGAGCCAGGGTTGTGAGTAAGTGCAGGAACAGAGGCTGGACTCCAAGTTCATAGGCTCGAGTCCTAGTGCTCAGCCTTTCTGCAAAACACAGGCTTCCCTTTCCCAGCGTCACTGGGCTTGCGGGTGAGATGGCCAGAGGCAGGCTTATGTTCCCTGCTTCCCTGACTGCACTGGAACAGCCTGTGAAGTCTGGGGGGACCATGGACAAATTTCCTGCAGGCATATCTTATGCCACCCTGTCCCATGGTCAACCCAACTCAAGAGGACATCACCTTTCCCGGGGAAGCCACCGGGGCTTCTCCTCTGGCCTCTCCTCTGGCGGTTGCCCAAGCACAGTCGTGTTCTTTTGTTCTGTGATTCCGTAATGTCCTGTCCAGATGCGGTGCTGTTACATCGCGATGGCATCGTGACATCCTTATAAAAATAATCATGGGAAGGGTAGTGACAGTAATAGCGAACATTTACTGAGTGCTTACTGTATGCTAGGCAGTGTTGCGTGCTTTAGATACATAAACTCATTAATCCCTCCACAGTCCCACAGAGGTAGGTACTATTGTAACTATCATAGATGAGAAAATCAAGGACCATTGAGTCTTTTGTCCCAGATTCCACAGCTTTGAGAGGGTGAAAGAAACCACGATTCAAACCTGCGCCCCCAACACTGCACTCCCATCAGGACCGGGTTCATGTCTTACTGAGTTCTGAAGCCTCTATCACAGCATGTAGTAGGTGCTCAGTAAAGTTCAAAGAATAAAGGTAAGACCGAGAAGAGTGAGTGTTCCTTGCCTCCGCATTTACCTCCTGCCGTCTTCCCAAACCACGCCCCCTTTTCCTGGGGGTTCAGTTTCTCTTCTCCCGCCTACACAAACCTTCTTGCAACCGGAAGGGCTCAGGTTTGAGAGTCACATGGGGGCAGCCAGTAACGGCCAGCGCCGAAATGCCAGTGAAGAGGTCGCACGACCGTGGACACCCCCTGGGGTCCGGTTTACGGGAGCTGCTGGGCAGCCTCTGGGGCAGGCGGGGTGGGCTGCGCGGGGGTCGGGGACAGATCTGCGGGCGCCCGGCAGGAAGGGCGCGGGGCGCGGGCGGCTCAGCCTCTCCTGGGGCCTCCGCGGAGCGGGCTCAAGGCGGCCGCCCCTCTCCCCCAGGACGGCTACATCGACTTCATGGAGTACGTGGCGGCGCTCAGCCTGGTCCTCAAGGGGAAGGTGGAACAGAAGCTGCGCTGGTACTTCAAGCTCTACGACGTCGATGGCAACGGATGCATCGACAGGGACGAGCTGCTCACCATCATCCGGGTAACTCCAGGTGCAGAGGGCCAGGCCCGGGGCGGGGGCGGGGCCGGTGGCCCCGGGAGGCCGGGACTCCGAGCTGACAGCCCGAGGGTGGGCGAGTTGGGTCTTCAGCAGACAGAACTGCAATCTCAGAAAGGGACAGGGTTGGGACTGAGGGTCTGGGGGTGGGGGTGGGGTGGGCAGCCGAGGCCCTCACCGGCTGCGTGACCCGGGCCACGTGCCATCCACTCTCTGAACCTCTGTTTTTTCCATCTGTACCGAGAGACGAGCTCCTAAATCCCAGCGCTGCCTCTAGCGCGCACTCTGTTGCTCGGGCACCGCCTAGACGGAACTAGGACGGACCCCCTCACTTCTTTTTCTCCGCAGGCCATCCGAGCCATCAACCCCTGCAGCGACACGACCATGAGTGCGGAAGAGTTCACCAATACGGTGTTCTCCAAGATTGATGTCAATGGGGATGGTGAGGAGACCGGGGCGGGGCCGCCAGGGCAGGGGGCGGGAGGGCAGAGGGAGGCCACACCCCCCAGCTGCCCCCGCCCCAGCCCCGAGTCTTGGATCTTAGGGCCCCCTGGACCGGATTGTGGTCTCTGGCTCCTCTGCCTGCCCCCCTCACACCACTTCCCCTAGCATTTGGCTCGGTCCCCCTTGCAAGACTCCGGCTCTGGGCCCCCCGCACAATGGCGCCAGGGAGACGTGAGCACCTCCTTCCCCGTGACTCCCTGTCTCTCTGCCCCAGGGGAGCTCTCCCTGGAGGAGTTCATCGAGGGCGTCCAGAAGGACCAGATGCTCCTGGACACGCTGACACGGAGCCTGGACCTCACCCGCATCGTGCGCAGGCTCCAGAACGGCGAGCACGAGGAGGCGGGAGAAGGGGCCGGGGCGGGCGGCGGGGAGACTGAGGCGGCCGGCTGAGCCCACCGCCCCGCTGCTTCCGTACCGGGGAGGGGATGCGTGTCGGTGCCTGGGGTCATCACTGTTGTCATACTAGATGCAGACTCGCCCCTCTGGGGTGCACGGCGGAGGCAGAGGGGCCGGGGTGGAAGTCCGGAAGGATGGTTCCCGAACCCCTGAGCAGGACTCAGCGGGTGGTGACTGCCCCCTGCTGGGCGGCCCGCGGGCCCGTCCCTAGCCCCAGCTCTTCCCACCGAGTTTCTTTCTGGAGTCCCACTCTTGTCTAGACCAGGGAGCTCTGACGCAGAGCGGGTTTTCACGGACTCTCATGGACTCTTACAGACCCGGTGGCCGCAGCCTCCACGTGGGTGCTGCGATCACACACCGAACCCGCACCCCGGAACCCTGGAGCCTACTTGTGTGGTGCGCTGATGTGTTCCTCCCTTCTCCAAGCATTTACTGAGCACCTTCTTTGCGTGAATGCTAGATACTAGACATGCCAAGAGGGTAGTTCTTCCCCCTAAGGAACTAACAGGCTAAGGGCATCATTATAATAAAATACGCTAAGAGAAGGTATGGCACTATAGACAGTCCTCATTTACCCCGGAGGAAATCTGTAACTATTCAGAAGTGACTGCCCAGTAAACACCCTTACTTCCACTGCGGCCCTGTAGTGGCGCTTGGTGCCCCGTGGTTTCCCACAGCTCTGGGACTCATTGCCTGGGGCGAGTGTCCTGACCGTCCCTCCGCTAACCTAACTTCCCTCTTGATGCTGTGACACCAGTTGGGAAGTGGGGCAGTCTGTGACAGGTGGGCCCCATTCCCATTCTTTGCACACGCCAACTTTAGGAATACCTGTCCAAGAGCTTGGGGAGAGAGACAGGCTGGAGGAGTTGTGGTCATTTTTTCTAAGATGCTCTTTCTTCTGGGCTTTGCGTCTTCATTTCAGTGCTGGGTGTGGGGGAAGTGCAAGGCGTGAATACAAATCCAAGGGCAGGAGAGAGAACACAAGGGGCAAGAGGAATGAGGTTCCAGAGTGCAGAGCCCCATGAGGGGAACGGAGGGTCCCACCCATCAGTGGGGCCACCCGGGGATGGGAAGTCGGCCGGGGCCTGAGCATGGATGTGGGTGGAGGGAAGATGGAGATCAATGTCATGGGCAGCTGGGGAAAAAAGGGAGTTGACATTTCTGCTTCTCTTGGTGGCTGCCTCTTGGGACATCCTGAAGGTGGGAGGGGGGATGGTATTTGAACAGAATTGGGACATTTCCCCAATGTCAGTCACATACCACCTTCATGACTTGGGGACTTATCTGTGTGCCCCCTGGATTACTACTATTTTTTAAACAACCCCCCCTTTTTTTTTTTTTACCTAAAATTTATTTCTAAAGGAAACTTTATATGAATAGCATACCTATGAAATTGCAGTTGAGTAGGTGAGTTTTATTTTTCATCCATCAACACAAAAACAGATCTATTGGAACAAGTTCCTGTACGGAGTTCCTCAGCACCCCTCTTTACATCTAGTTTGTACACTGGGCTTGCACGTAGAGCTTGTACAACAAAAATAACTCCACATCTATAAAAAGTAATTATCTGAACACTGCCTGTTGAGTCCAACCTGCTCACTGATGAGATAACTGAGGTTAGGGAGCGAGAAATGGCCGTCTCGGGTCACATAGCAGCTGGTGGCAAAGTGGGGCCTCCGACCACTTCTCCCCAGAGGCAGAGAGAGGTTTCCCCATCCTTCAGGGAGACACATCCCATCTGGCTTGTGGGAATCCTGGTGGGTCTTTGCGCATGCGCATGTGGCGGGGGGGGAGGTGGGGGCTGGGCGTGGTTGGAGGGGGGTGCGGAGTGTGGATGAGGGGTAGGGACAGGGACAGGAGGATTGTGTGGGGGTGTGGGTTGGTAGCAAGGACTGGAGGAACAGCACCAGGGCGGAGCTGAAATGGCTCCTTTAAAAATTTTTAAAATGTTTTTAATTTATTTTTGAGAGAGAAATAGAGACAGTGTGAACAGGGGAGGGTCAGAGAGAGAGGGAGATACAGAATCCGAAACAGGCTCCAGGCGCTGAGCTAACTGTCAGCACAGAGCCTGACGTGGGGCTCGAACCCACGAACCGTGAGATCATGACCTGAGCCGAAGTCGGACACTTAACCGACTGAGCCACCCAGGTGCCCCTGAAATGGCTCCTTTAAGCACAGCCGACCCCTCCAAGGGCCAGAAGACTGCCCTTTTCCCTTGTTGACACCCCTGGTGAGGACAGGTTGGGGAGGGGGAGGCAAGAGCCCTCCCCATGAACTCCTCAGGATTCTGGGGGGATGTAATTATTATCCCACTCACCCCACAACTCCTACTTCTGCTTCATGCTGTGTGGGCATTCTCGTTGCTAATATGGTCTATGGGGACCCTCCCCCCAGTATTCCCCTGCTTCCAGCTGAGAACCATGTAGGAAACTGTGGAAACCGCACCACCCCCCAGCTAAAGCATACTTTCCCCAGAAGCAGCTGAAGGGAGAGAGGGAGAAGAAGCCAGTTCCCCTCACCACCCCAGTACATCCTCCCAAAGACTGTTGGATTGGCCATTTCAGACCACTCCCTACCCCCTGCTCAGCCCCAACCCCCTTCATGGGGAAGGGGGGCAGATAAGAGTGAGCAGACGCAGGCTGAGCCAGGGACCCTCCCACTATTCTGGAAACCTGGTGAACATGGAGTTCTTGGAGGGGCCTGTGGACTCGGGGGCCTGTGGACTCGCACGGGGCGCCCAGGGCCCCAGACCCCTCAGAACATGGCGCTTTTCCGCCTCTGCTGAGAGATCCAGCCCCCGGGGCTCATATCCATCTGCAGCATCTTCATCACCCACTTGTCACGACGGGCACCTTCGATGAACTCGTTCAGAGACAACTGGCCTGAGCAAGGGGTGGAAGAGATGGTCATGGGGGAGAGTGGAAGAAATGGGTTGGGGGCGTGAGAGGAGAAGCCTTCTCTCCCAGGGTGCACCTGCTTACACAAACACCTCGTACACAATGAGCCTGCAGTCTCCGGGCCTAAGCTCGAGGCTTGTTAACTCTCCAATTCTCCAGGAGGCTTCAAGGGGCTTTCTTTCAGGGGTTTGCTTTGCAAAGGAACTTAAGTTTTCCTTTGGCTCACTGTGCCTTCGAAATGTCCCTGAGGGCTCTTCTGGGTGTGTTCCCAGCCAGCTCCCTCCCTCCTGGCCTTGGGGCTGGTACACTGAGAGGGTCCAAATAGCCTTCATCCGGAGGCCTATTCTATGTGAGGCCTATTCTATGCCCGTCTCTCAATTACATTTACCCTATTTATTCCTCTGGAGCGTCATTATCCCTATTTTCCAGATGAGAAAACTGAGGCCAGGCTGTTTAAATGGTCTGCCTGAGTCCAAAGCTCCTATTCTCTGGCTGCACTTGCCTGGCGAGAGCTTAAATCACCCCCCTGCCCCCAAAATCACATCACGTGATATTCTACTTCCTCCTCTCTGCACCCAGCTCCCCAGCTGCGGGGAGGTGGAGGGCCTTGTCCAAGGTCGCACAGCCAGAAAGGGGGGGTGGTGTGGAGTGGGCAGCCCCCCACCCCCCTTACCATCTCCATTCTCATCCACCAGAAGGAAGATCCTGTCCACCACCTCCTCGGGTGTGAGCAGCTGTCCGTGCTGCTCGGCCTCCATCTCCACCCTGCAGGCCTTCTTCAGCCTGTAGATCGCCTGCGGGAGAAAACCGCAAGCTCCCTCCCTCCCTCTGCCAGGGCCCCAGGCCCTCAGCCCTGCGTCCCCATCGCTGCCTCCCCCTTCCCCCAACCGGGGCTCCAGTCAAATAATAGTCCACCTGTCCTTGGGCTGCTGGGCTGCTTTCTCAGGGTCCCACGGCCTAGTTCCAGCAGAGGAGTGTCTGGTCTCATAGGCCACCCCACCCTGATGCCCTGTGACCCTCAGAGTGAAGCCCAAAACCTTCAGTGAGGGACAGAGCCAGCACTGTGATGGTCTCAAGTCCATTCTGCACAGGAAGAGTTGGAGACCCGGGGAGGGAGAGAGGAGGGAGGGTACTTGTGGACGTGTGTGTATAACAGGAGGAGGGGACACAGCGGCGTCCGGCCTGGCGGGAAAGGACGGGTTTCTCCCTTGCCGTTCCCTCTCCTGGTGAGGCAGCGGTGGCCAATGAAGTGGGGAAGAGACAGACACGTGTGAAGGTTTTCCTTAGTTCCTGGACTGAGCGCTCAGTGGACAGAGGCCTTTCTTGTCCATCCCCAGGCCCTCACTGCCCAGGGCAGTGCTGGGCACAATGGGGGACCCCCACTGACCCGGGTCTGGGAGCCGGGGGGCTAAGGCCAGCCCCAGTGCCTCCTGGGAAGGAACAGATGAACTTGGGCAAACCACAGAACTGGCCTGAGGCGACTTCTTTATCTGTGAAGTGGGCGGACACCTGCCACCTGGGAGTGCAGTTCTGGGGCAGTAACAGGGTGACGGGGTCAGGGGTCAGCCTGTGCTATAGTAGGCTCTTTCTTCTACTCTCATTGTTGTTAATTTTTTTTTCTGAGAGAGAGAGAGAGAGAGAGAGAGAGAGAGACAGCATGGGCAGGGGAGGGTCAGAAAGAAAGGGAGATACAGAATCTGAAACAGGCTCTAGGCTCTGAGCTGGCAGTCAGCACAGAGCCCGACGCAGGGCTTGAACCCACGGACCATGAGATCACGACCTGAGCCGAAGTCGGACGCCCAACCGACTGAGCCACCCAGGCGGCCCTAGTTGTTGTTGTTTTAATTTTTTGTAATGTTTATTTACTTTGAGAGAGAGAGAGAGAGAGAGAAAGAGAGATGAGAGAGAGACAGAGTGTGAGCAGGGAGGGGCAAAGAGAGGGAGACACTTACTCACAGAGCCCGAAGCGGGGCTTGAACTCACAAACCGTGAGTCCATGACCTGAGCTGAAGTCAGATGCTTAATGAACTGAGCCACCCAGGTGCCCCTCATTGGGTTTAATTTTCTCTTCTTTTTTTCTAATTTCTTGAGATGACTTCTCAGATCACTGATTTCCAGCCTCTTATTTTCTAACATCTATCTTTTAAGGCGATAAAACGCTCTGCATTGCACAGCGGATCATGTTACGTGCGCATGATAGTCCGGCTCCAGGCACTTGGTGTGTATGTGTACGTGACAGAGCGTCCCTCGTTTATGGAGTAGTTAGGAGTGTACTGCCTTGTTTCCAAACAGATGGGGTTTTAAACTGTAATGGATTTCTAGTGTAATTCTGTCCTTAGTCAGAAAGCTCCCTCTGGATGATTCCAGTGCCTCTCCCCCCACCCCAGCCGCGGCGGCCCCCACCCGAGGGGCCAGGCCTCAGAGCCTGGCCGTGCTCACAGGCCCAGGGCAGACGCTGACCTCCACGATGTCGAGCAGCTCCAGGCGGTCGATGCAGCCGTTGTGGTCCTTGTCGTAGATCTTGAAGGTCCACTTCAGCTTGTGCTCCAGGGTGCCCCTCAGCACGAGGTTCAGGGCGGCCACATACTCCAGGAAGTCAATGGTGTTGTCCTGCAAGGGGCGTGGGAGCTGTGAGGGGAGCGGAGTGCAGGCGTGGGGCCCCATGCTGGGCCGACAGACTCAAGGCTTTGCCTCTGGCCATCCCTGTGACCTCGCTCTCCAGCGCTGCATCCTTTCCCAGGCTGTGATCATCCAATCCTGAACCAGTCCTTCAAGGGTCGGGCACTTGAGCTAGCCAGCTCAACGGTCCCCCCTCCTCCAGGAAGCCCTCCTTCTCCAACCACCTCAGCTACAGTGCTCTGCCTCTCTCGCTCCCTCTTCTAACATTCACAGCACTTACACTTTATTCCACACAGTTTGGGCCTTATTCTGGCATTGCCACTTAGCTCTTTTGTAAGTGTGTCTCATTGTTTTTTCTTAAAAAAATTTTTTTTAAATGTTTTATTTATTTCTGAGAGAGAGAGAGAGAGACAGCGTGAGCAGGGGAGGGTCAGAGAGAGAGGGAGACACAGAATCTGAAACAGGCTCCAGGCTCTGAGCTGGCTGTCAGCACAGAGCCCGACACGGGGCTCGAACCCACCAACTGTGAGATCATGCCCTGAACTGAAGTTGGACGCTTAACCGACTGAGCCACCCAGACGCCCCAAGTGTGTCTCATTCTTGAGCTGTATTGTACATACCCTCCTGGAGAAAAGAGGGGTTTATGTTGCCTTTGTCTCCCCTTTGGGCTTAAGCCCAGCGCCACTTAATGTGCGGAGTTGGGGTCTCCAAAGCATTTATGAATCGATGAACACCTGATTGACTCAATTTCAACCTGGGACTAAGACAGCTCTGGAAGATTAGAAAGCAGCGCTCATGGTGAAAACGCCCTTTATCCTCTTACTCCCTCCGAGCCCGAGAGGAGGCAGATACGCAATGGCTCCAGCCCCACTCACCTCCTGCCTCAGTGGACATTACCCTCTCTAAGGACAGGCCTCCCCTGTCCCCATCCAGGAAGGAGGAGGGGAGGAGATGGAGCTCAGGTGCTAACCCCCCAGAGGGAGGAGGGGGGCACAGTCCACTTCTGTGATGACTCTGACCAGGTCACTGAAACTGCTTCTAACCCAATGTGGCAACAGTTACTCCAAAAGCTGTCAACGGGGGTGGGGTTGGGGGGTGGGGGGGGCACATCTGCTTCTTGCTCTGCTACACCAAGGGGGTGTAAGGGGGAGAGCCTGGCCGTGACGGGGTCCGCAGTGGGCTGCTCAGGGTGACCTTCACAAGGCTGTTCCCGCTTACAGGCGCTCCCATCTTCTGGGGGGGGGGTGGCGGGGGGGACCTCGGCTCTCCAAAGCCAGGAGCTGAGTCGTCACTCTCCCAGGAGTGGCTGTCACTCACAGGAGTTTGTCATCAGAAATGACATCGCTGGCCCAGAGCACCTCTGTCCTGCTGGGTCACGCCGCTCGGCGGGCCCCACCCTCAGATCAAGGAGCGCTTGGGTGAGCAACGTGTGAGCAATAGGACAGGACAGAACATGAGGCAAACAGCAGACAGCCTAAGGAAAAAACAAGAAGACCACAAAACGAGGCCACCTCAACACCCAAAGTCTCTTATTTTAAATCTATAATATATTATATATATATTTTAAATCTATATATATAATTTAAATCTATAATATATTAATATGTATAATATATTAATATATATATAATATATTAATATATAAAATCTATAATATATTAATATATATAATATATAATATATAATACATAATATATTAATATATAATATATAATATATAATATATAATATATAATATATTAATATATAATATATAATATATAATATATTAATATATATAATATATAAATAACATAAAACTTATATATTATATATAAATAAATCTATAATATATATTATAAATAATATATAAATAAATATATAATATATGTAAATGTTGGCCATTATTATTTTAAAAACTTTTTTTTTACATTTATTTATTTTTGAGAGACAGAGTGAGATGGTGCACGAGTTGGGGAGGGATGGAGAGAGAGGGAGACACGGAATCTGAAGCAGACTCCAGGCTCTGAGCTGTCAGCACCGAGCCCGACGCAGGGCTCGAACCCACGAACCGTGAGATCATGACCTGAGCTGAAGATGGACGCTCAACTGACTGAGCCACCAAGGTGTACCATATTTAAGTTAGTTTTTTATTAGAAAAATTGTTTTTAACGTTTATTCATTTTTTGAGAGACAGAGACAGAGCATGAGCAAGGAAGGGGCAGAGAGAGAGGGAGGCACAGAATCCAAAGCAGGCTCCAGGCTCAGAGCTGTCAGCATAGAACCCAATGCGGGCTCAAACCCACAAACTGCAAGACCATGACCTGAACCAAAGTCAGATACTTAACCAACTGAGCCACCCAGGGGCCCCGTAAGTTATTTCTTTAATGTTTATTTATTTTGAGGGGGTCAGTGAGAGGGGGAGACACTGAATCCCAAGCAGGTTCCAGGCTCCAAGCTATCAGCACAGAGTTCAGCAGAGCCTGATACAGGGCTCGAACCCATAAACCGTGAGAATGACCTCAGCTGAAGTCAGACGCTCAACCAACTGAGCCTCCCAGGTGCCCCCTAAAGTGTCTATTTCAACATCTTTTATGTGATTACTTCTGCTCCTCCACACCCCCCACTGTTTATTTACCTAACTGATGTCAAACTGTAGTTACAGTTTTCTTTCCTGCATTTTTATCTTAAAATGTCCCATGTCTTTAAAATTAATTGATTGAAATCATTTTATTAATTGAGATCATTAATTGAAATCACCTTTTACTTTTTTTTGAGGGGTACTCCACAGTCCCTTGTGCTGAACCTGGTTTTAATATTTTACATTACACAATGAGCATCTTTGTGTACATATATCTCTCTTATGTCTCTGGTAATTTCTTTAGGGTAGGTTCTTAGCAACGGCTGTTCTTTTCTCTTTTTTCACAAGTGTTTAATCCTCTGTTTGTGTAAGGCTATCGTTGTATGAGATTCTGTCACACATGGAGCTATGAGTAATATCAATAGGAGAACTTTCTTTGTTACGTGACCACTTAATAGTCACATCCTCCTTCTGACGGTAACTCTTGGCAGCCATGGACCTGATCTCCATCGCTATAGTGTGTCCACTTGGAGAATGGTATACAAATGGAATCACACAGTATGCAGCCCTTTCAGATGGGCTTGCTGCGCTCAGCGCAGAGCCCTGGAGTCATCCAAGCTATTGAGGGTATCAGCACTCCTTCCCTGCTATTGCAGAGTGGTCCTCCATGGCACAAATGGCCCCTCGTTTGTTCTACTCACTCACTGAAGCTTATCCGGCTTGCTTCCAACAACGCCCTCCCCCGCAAGCTTTACTGAGCTATAATTGCAGAATAGCCTTTTAAAGCACATCGTGTAAGTTTAAGATATACACTGTGATGATTGGTTGTTCTTTAAAAAATTGTTTTCACTAGTAATTGTTATTCATTAAGTTTGCTAAAAATTAACCTTATTTTTGGGGCGCCTGGGTGGCTTAGTCGGTTAAGCGTCCGACTTTCGCTTAGGTCATGATCTCGCGGTTCGTGGGTTCCAGCCCCGCGTCGGGCTCTGTGCTGACTGCCGGCTCGGAGCCTGGAGCCTGTTTCAGTCTGTGACTCCCTCTTTCTCTGACCCTCCCCTGCTCACGCTCTCTCTCTCTCTGTCTCCTAGAAATAAATAAACATTTAAAAAAAAATTAACCTTATTTTTTAAAAATAAGAGCAGGAGAATGTATACAAAGTAGGCCGGTAGGGGCGCCTGGGTGGCTCCGTCAGTTAAGTGTCCGGCTTTGGTTCCGGTCATGATCTCAAGGTTTGTGAGCTCGAGTTCCACATTGGGCTCTGCGCTGGCAGTGAGAAGCCTGATTGGGACTCTCTCTCTCCCTCTGTCTCTGCCCCTTCCCAAATTGTTCTCTCTCTCTCTCTCAAAATAAATAAATAAACTTAAAAAAAAAAGGTTATAAATAAGAAAGAAAGCAAAATGCCTGGTAGAAACTGTCTATTTCACATATGCCATTTCTCTCAGGTTTGTTATACCCACTTTATGGATGAGGAACCTGAGACTCAGAGGGTGAAATAAGTTGCCCAAGGGACACTCATGCAGGAAGTGGCAGAGCCTTTCAAGCTACGTGTCTTCTCTAGTTCAAGTTACAGCACTTTCTTACTTATCTCAAGGTATATTACTGTCTAGAAAAATGAGCCTCGTATCTAGCCCCACAGAGAGAAAACCCCAAAACCCAAAACTACTGATAAATCTTTCCTCTCCAGCTCTATAGATGCTCCCACATTCGTTGTCTAGAACATTCTGTTCTGACAGCATCCTCCCTCAACATGACACGGTTATCACAATGAGCCCTTGCCTCCCATGAGGCACATTGTAGAGTCAGCCCTTCCTGAGGAGTGACCTCACCTGTGAAGTCACCCAGCACCGCTCTCAGCACCCCCAGCCCCACCCCCACCCCCGGCAGGACAAGTCCTGGGAAGCTCCTACCTGGGGCTAATCTCACCCTCTGTGCCGGGCCCTCGTCAGCTTCGATGAGCAATGGGAAGCTGATGGAAATGCCTCTGTCGACTCAAGAGTCAGAGCAGAAGTGACAGGCGTGTGATCTGCTCTGTGGGATTTCCTGCCCCATTTCTCCCTCAGTTGGCTGCATTTGTGCACCGGCCCGGCCTTAGCGCAGGTTACATAAGGATATCCAATGACATTTGATTTCACCTTCCCTTTTCTTCCATGCCAGTGCGTCCACAGGGCAGCCACCGGAGGGAAGAGTGTTGCGAGGCAGAGTAGTAGCGGGGACGGGGCGCTCTGCCCTCCTTGCCTCCACCAAACCCCCGTTTCTATCACCCCAGATTAAAAACGTTTTTTAATTTTTGAGAGAGAGAGAGAGAGAGAGAGACGGAGTGTGAGTGTGGGAGGGACAGAGAGATAGGGAGACACAGAATCTGAAGCAGGATCTGGGCTGTCAGCACAACGGTGAACGCGGGACTCGAACCCACGAACCGTGAGATCATGTCCTGAGCCAAAGTCGGACGCTTCACCCACGGAACCACCCAGGCACCACACTTACCCCTCAGATTTTGACATGTGAGCTAGATCTATGAACTCTTGATTTTATTTGTCTCAGAAAGCTCAGACCAGTTGCCCAGAAATCGGACTCACTAACGTAAAGATTGTGCCAATGTGGGGAGTGGAGATGGGTGTGGGTTTGGAGACAGAATCTAAGCGGAAAAAGAAAAGAAGGCTCAGTCCCGGACAGAGGAACTTAACACACCTCTAGGAAAGCTCTTCCTTAATAGAAGAATTCCAATTAATAAATGGAGATGGGCTGGCAGAATTCAAAAATTATCAATGGATGCCACATCTAGCAGGTGAAAATTTGAGGAGCCACAGGATATTTACTTCGTCTCAAAGTATCTCCCTAGAAGATGCTTGTGAATTACAAAGGAAAAATGGCAACTTTCCAGCGGAGAAACTCGGCAGACACCATGTAACCAGAGGATGGCAGTTAACCGCCCCTATAATGGGACAAACCAACATCGTGTGCCCCCACAGGAGGCTCTGAGGACATGACGTCACTTCTGGGGCATTTCTGACAGAAACGGAAAACCTGAATCTAATCACAAAGCGACACTGAACAAACCCAAATTGTGGCCTGCAATCTTCAAAACTGTCAGCGTCAAATAAGACAAATGAAAGCTAAGATCGAAGGTTCTGAGTTAAAGAGTAAAGACAGGACAAGTAAATGTGTGATCAGACCAAAGAAAGCAGAAGGAAAGAAAAGCAAGCAAGCAATATAAAGCGCACATTACATGTCAAATGGACAAAACTTGAATATGGATTAGATAACAGAATTGGGTCAATACTGAGTTTCCTGATTTTGATCTCTGTATTAGGTTATTGAAGAGCTCGTCTTGTTCTTGGGGAAAAACACCCTGAAATGCTTCGGACTAAGAGGACGTGATGTGTCCGACGTTCTCTAAAAGAAACAGACACACACGTGCACAGAATGATAAAGCAACTGAGGCAAAATGTACAGCTGGATAAACTGTACATGGGAGTTACTTATACTATTCTTTCAACTTGGTATAAATTTGAAATATTGTCAAAAATAAAAGCTATAGGGGCATCTGGGCTCAGTGGGTGAAGCATCCGACTTCGGCTCAGGTCATTATCTTGTGGTCTGTGAGTTTGAGCCCTGTGTCTGGCTCTGTGCTGAAGCTCGGAGCCTGGAGCCTGCTTCGGATTCTGTGTCTCCCTCTCTCTCTGACCCCTCCCCACTCACACTCTGTCTCTGTCCCTGTTTCTCTCAAAAATAAATATTAAAAAAATAAAAGTTATAAAGAAAGGAAAACAATGAATATCATGTGCTAATTTTTTTAAATTTTTTAAATGTTTTATTTATTTCTGAGAGAGAGAGAGAAAGACAGGGTGAGCAGGGGGAGGATCAGAGAGAGAGGGAGACACAGAATCGGAAGCAGGCTCCAGGTTCTGAGCTAGCTGTCAGCACAGAGCTCGACACGGGGCCCGAACCCATGAACCATGAGATCATGACCTGAGTAGAAGTCAGACGCTTAACCGACTGAGCCACCCAGGTGCCCCTTGATAGTCCCTTTTGGATTTTGAGTTGTTATCCTACTGAATTTTTAGATGAATATGGGGAAGATTGATATATTTATGATAGTAAATCTTGTCATGTGTGATCTGGCTTATTTTATTAAAAAAATTTTTAAATGTGTTTTTATTTTTGAGAGACACACACACACAGGGTATGAGCAGAGGAGGGTCAGAGAGAGAGGGAGACACAGAATCGGAAGCAGGCTCCAGGCTCTGAGCTGTCAGCACAGAGCCCGACACGGGGCTCAAACCCACGAACCAGGAGATCATGACCTGAGCTGAAGTTGGCTGCTTAGCCAACTGAGCCACTAGGCGCCCCAATCTCGTTTGTTTTAAAGCTATTTTCTCTCTTAAAAAAAAAAAATAAAAAAACCCCAAAACAAACTGCCTTCTAAGCAGGCACACTTGACTAGGAGTCAGGACCCCTGAGTATGTGATCTTGGGCAAATCCTTTTGTCCAGGTTTTCTCTTCATTTCAGTTGGGTCATTAAATGGACCGCAGCGGGCTCGGAGGACAGGGGGCAGAGGAGAAGCTTGGAGAAGTCTGAACATACTCTGTGTCCCACGAGGGGATTCACAGGTTTCATCTCTAAGGAGGTTTCTGATGCCCTGATGACGCTGCCCCACCCTCCAGTCCCCAGACAGGTGTCAGAGATGCACGCTGATGGTACCCGGGACAAAGTCAGACCCAAACAGGCATTCCTAGCGATTCGGTCTAGAAAGGGAAGCTCTCCACATACGAAAAGTGCAGAGGCTTTCTCTAGATTAATTATCTAGGTCCAATACCCCCCCCCCCAAATCTGGGCGCGGGGGGCAGCTAAAATAGGTACTTGAGGCAAATCTAATGATTCAAAGAATCATGGAGGCCCTGGGCTGACAGCCTTAAATAATGAAGGGGTTTCCATTTCTAAATTCTCTTTCCAGGGGTGGATTTACAACACGCAGTATCGTCTCAGCTGCTGCTGCCGTTGGAAGGCTTGAGAATGCCTGTGGTGGAATGATCTCGTGGAATCTTCCACGACTTGGAGAGTTGTGAGGGCCAGGCGCCGCCAGCACGCCAGGCGGGAAGACCTGACCAGTCTCAATTCCAAGGACCCCGACAAAGGGGAGCTCGCGGTCTATACCAAGATAGCTCATCCTTTTGGGACGGCTCTTTAGCTCCTTTAGAGTGACAAGGGCTCTGGTGGCTGTGGGAGACCAGACTCCTTGGGCTGTAGAGCCTTGGCCAAAAACACACCAGTTGAGGACTGGGCTGTGAGCCTTTCTGCCCAGCCCACCTCCCCTCAGCAGGACAGAGGGAGTCAGGAAGAGCAGAGGGACAGGGGGGGAGAAGATGAGACGGAGAGGAGGGAAGGAAAGATGGGAAGGGACCAAATGATGGGAAGAGAGAAGAGTTTAGGGAAAGAGAGAGGAAAGGCGAGCAGGGAACGGAGAGCACCGAGCGGGACTGGGGACCGGCCGCTCCCTCCCACCGGTGACGCTCCTTCGGCCCAGCGGGAAACAAGGAGGGCGCACTGGCCCCCGCACCCCCTTCAGTGCCTTACCCCGTTCTTGTCGAAGGCTCGGAACATGCCCTCGACGTACTGGGTGGCCTCCTCATTGCCTGTGACCTTGAAGAAGCGCTTAAACTCGTGCATGAAGAGAGAGCCGCTGGGGCACTCCACCACGAACTTCTTGTACCACTCCTGGAGCTCGGCCACGTCCATCTCGCCGGCCGCCTCCGCCTCCTCCCAGCTGAACTGCTGCCCCATTCCGGCCTGCAGGGGTGTCGGGGTCCGTGCCTCCTCCTGAGCTTCTACCGATTGATGCTTCAGGCCAGGGCCCTCTTCCCCCCTTTCCTCTGCTTAGCCAGCCTCCTCATCTCCTGGCAACGGAACGCGGTGGGCAGTGCAGGGGCAGGCGAAAGGGGGCGGGGTCGGGCCAGCTAAGCGCCCTAAGATCATTAGAAGATTCCCCTGGAAGGTCTGACCCCCAGTCAGCTAAGCTCCCCCAGCCTCACCCCTCCCTTCACTCTTGGCAACCCCGCAACTAAGCCACCCTGGCAGAGGCGGGGGAGAAGGGCAGGGAACTGACACCCTACCATCTCACACATGCTCCTGGTTCCTTTCCTTGGGCACCGCTCTGTTCCAGAGAAGCCCGTCTTGGACACGGGAGACTCTCAAGTCCAGAGAGGGAGCGAGGCCAAAGCCTAGCCCATATGATAGCACCCGCTGGCTATCTGGGGCTCACTTGCACAGGCCAGGGAGAAGCAGCACGTACTGTGATGTGAAGGCCTCCAGGTGGGCAGCTCTGTCCCCATGCTCAGTGCCAGCAAGTCACAGCCTTGAGTCTTCCAAGTTTTCCATTTTCCAATTTGAAGTACAAATGCTTCCTTCCGACACCCTTCGCCCAAGACCTAGAAACAAGGCGTTTCCTACTTTTTCTCCTAAGTGTGTATATGTGAGAAGGATCTGGGGCCACGACTTAAAAGATCTCTGGAGGCTCTTACTTTTGTATTTGCAAATTTGTTTTTGAATTGTGTATTTGTGCTTATTTTAATGTAGTGTTAAAATGATACCTTCCAGAAACCAGAAAATCAAATGCACATTTCTAGATTTTAGGAGTTTTTCTGGTGAGTCTTGTAATCCCAGGGTGACACTCCCTGTCCGTCTCCCGTTGGCCGGTCACTCCTGAATTGTCCGGTATGCCTCCTGGCCTGTCCTCCTCTCACATACCCCTCTGCCCCCACCTCCACTCACCCCTAATCTCTTGTAGTTCTTTTAAGTTCTTGCCATTCCTTTAAAACACATTTTTTTTTTAAATGTTTTTGAGACAGAGACAGAGCACAAGCAAGGAAGGGGCAGAGAGAGGGGGAGACACAGAATCTGAAGCAGGCTCCAGGCCCCGAGCGGACAGCAGAGCGCGACGTGGGGCTTGAACCCACAGACCGTGAGATCTGGACCTAAGAGGAAGTTGGACGCTTAACCGACTGAGCCACCCAGGCGCCCCACTTCCTGTCATCCTTCCAAGCACTCGTGGATTTTTCTCCCACATCCTTTGGGGTCAGCGGAGTAGGGCTAGTTGCCTCCCTGCTCCTAAATGTTGCCTCCACTTCCCTTTTCTCCCTCAGAAATGCCAGTCTCTGTGAAGCCATGTGTGACTCCACCCACGTGCCCTCACTGGTGACTTCACTACTCTGTCTCAGAGCACCAGCTTGGTGACGTCCACATCCAGGCGGACAGTGGGTCCATCCCATGCTCCAGCCTCAAAGGTCCCTGAGCTTTTCTTCCGCCCCACCTTGGCCTCCCATTCACTGTGACCCTAGGGCCAGCAGCAGCTGCAGCATCTGGGAGCTTGTTAGAAATGCCAATTCTCAGGCCCCACCTCCCCCACTGAACCAAGAGCCGCGGGGACGGGCCTGGCAATCTGTTTGGACGAGCCCTCCACAGGCGTCCAAAGCACGCTGAAGTTTGGGCACCACTCCCGTAGGCCCTGCAGTCCCGCATTTCTGAGCCGCATCTGAAACGTTCAGACATCACCGTTGCCTCTCCCGCCAGCTCTCTCTCTCTCGCACCTTCACCCAACAACGCACCAGCTTGAGACTTGCAACCTGCTGATCTCGTTTTTTAACTTGTCACCCCGTTCACACCCTCGCTTTCCTCCTCAACCTTATCCACGGCCCAGCACTCTTGCCATGACCTTGCCTTTGTGGCCCTCTCTCCCCCTAAGTACTTGGTTGGCAAAACCTGACCTCGGCTAAAGCCGCTAACCAGTCGCCAACAGCTTACCTGCACCCGGGAGGCGATGGTAGCACTTGCTTGTCCCTACTGATGTCCCTCTCCCCGTCCTGAGATGACTTTCCCACAAGCTCCCTGCCCTCAGACCTCACTCACTCTCGCGTTCAGCTGATGACCTTGTTACAAGCTTTGCTTCACAGAGAAATAGATGCACTTCCTCTTCCCATGAGACTTCTCCCCACCTGTGCCCACGCACTTGGCCTTCTTCCTGGGTCAATGGAGGCAGCGGCCCTATCCTTCACCTGTCAGCTGCTCGGCGAGGTCTTCTCTCTCTCTGCCTATCCAAGCACTTCACACAGTTATTCCCTTCTCTTCTGCATCCTCAGTTCATCCTTCTGTAGTGGCTCATTCCTGTCTGCGAACGGCCTTAACATCACCTTCAGTAAAACAAAACTCCTTCCTTGACCCCACATTCAGGGTCCCATTATGGGACTTTCGTGGGCCCATATGCTTTTGCCTTCATGAGTCATAAAATAAGTATTAAGTAAATAATTAAAAATATTTTGTCACTCATTGGTATAAAGATGAATATAATCCAGTCTGGACTGTACTCCCTTCCTTCTTCCTGTCTCCTCCTTTCTTTTCTTTTTTCTTCCCTTCCTTTTTTCTTTCCCTCCCTTCCTTCCTCCCCTCCTCCCTCCTTTCCTTATTTTAAAAGAAATTAAACATTTAAAAGAAATTAAAAGTATTGTGGGCCCTAGGCATCGTGCCTACTAGATCCCACTGGCCCTCCAGCCACTGTCTTAGTTTTGGCTCCCCTTATAACACCCCGCCCCCTTCCCCCCCACAGTGGAAGATGTTATTTTCCAAAAAGGGCACAACAATAGATCTGGTCTCATATATTCCTCCCATCAAGGGAAAGAGTCTATTTCTCCTTCTCTTCAACCTGGATGGGACTTTGTGGCTACTCAGTGAAGAGAATAGGCAGCAGTGACACCATGTGACTTCCACGGCTAGGCTATCAAAGGTGATGGGCCTTCTGGCTGGCTCTCTCAGGACTCGCCCTAGGAACTCGCCACTATTTTGTGGGACGCCCGAAGCACATGTAGGGGTTCAGCTGACGGCCAGCCTTAGCCACTAGGTGTGCTGGGTGGGTGACTTTGCAGACCTCAGTCCGTCTTCCAGCCACTCCAGCTGATACCAAATGGATCATTGTCCTAACAGAGCACTGACCAGCCTCAGATTTGTGTGCAAAGTAAATGTCACTGAAGCCACTAAGTGTTGGATGTTTTTAAGGCAGCAATAACCGGACATTCTCAAACCTGTTTAGTGTATGTTTTTTAACAAAAAAATGTTTTATGTTTTATTTTTGAGCGAGTGCAAGCAGGGGAGGGGCAGAGAGAGAGGGAGACAGAGGATCTGAAGCGGGCTTTGCGCTGAGAGCCTGGAGCCGGCTCGAACTCACGAACCATGAGATCATAACCCGAGCCAAAGTCGGACGCTCAACAAACTGAGCCACCCAGGCGCCCCATGTCATCTTCTTTCTTATTCTCTCTTCAACTTACTCCAGTGGGATGCTCGTCCTTGTCATTCCACGGAGAAGTGGTCACCAAAGACCTACTTTTCTTACTCAATCACACTCCTCTGAGTTCACTTCGGCCTCACTGGCTACTCATCTCCTTTGCTAGCACCTCCTCCTGTTGAACTGAGCTCTTCATGCTTGGGGCTCCCAGGCTTGTCCTGGAATTGGCTCTTCTCACCTCCCCACCACTCCCCTCCCCAGGGGAGCTCGCTCGTTCTGACATTACATACCATTTGTAGGCTGGTAGCTTCCAAACTTGTACCGGCAGCTTGGACCTCACCCCAGAACTCCCATTTATGAACCTAGCTGCTGAGGAGACATCTATACTCAGATTGCAAACATGGCGACACTGAAGCCAAACTCCTGATTTCCTCCCTGGATTCCACCTCAACCTGTTTCCAAAACCTCAGTAATAGCAGTACCAGTTACCCAGTTGCTTAGCCCCCAGACTAAGACCTGTTCTTCAATCTTCTCTTTCTCTGAGATATCATTTCAATCTCCTAGTAGGCCATTCTGTCAGTTCCATCTCCAAACCATATTCTGAATCCAGCCACTTCACATCATCTCCATTACTGCATCTCTCTTCCAGGCCATGTCCTCACACCTGGTCCCCGGCAGCAGTTCCTACCTGGTGCTTCTGCCCCCTTTACAGTCCACACCCAGTAGCCACAGTAGTGTTCTAAAGCATAAACCAGATCCGTGACTCTCCTGCTCCAAATCTTCCTCTGGCTTCCCACTCACACTCAGAATCCATTCTGTACTCCTTCCCACAGCCACGATGCAGTACGTGATCTAGTCCTCGCCTAACGGGCTTCATGTTCCTCTGCAATTGTCCCAAGACACACACACGGGGCCTTGGCATTGATTGTTCCTGCTGCTCTTCCCCCACGGCTGTACATAGCTATCTTCTTTACCACTCTCCTCTCCTTAGAAATAGCCCCGCCTCAAGTAGCCACTCAAGTAATTCTGACACTATCTTATTTTATTCATAGAGCTTAACTAAATCTTATTCTTCCTTGCCCCCCCCCCCCCCGCTTTATTATATCTTCACCAGAGTCCAAGGTCCTTGAGAAGAGGACTTCACCATATATAATGAATTCCTGGTGTCCACACACAAGGAACTCAAATACTTACTGAGTAACTGAGCAAAGTGCTCAGCACACAGTCAATGCCAAATGAATGTGAGCTATCACACCTTAATTTTACAGGACAATCCTTCGATTCCTTTGAGTGCCTGGCCTAGCAGATATCTGTTGGTGTGAAATGGCAACGGAAGAGGCCTTGAAGATCTAGCCCAGGGATTTCCAGCCTTTTCCCCATCTCATCACACCCGAAGACAACATGCACCCAGCAGTTGCTGTGCTCTGTGCAATCAGCACCTTAGCTGCTGGGTGTGAAGGTGGTATCATCCCTCTCTTCACATTTACCGATATAGAAGCAGCACTGAGGATGG